TGTGTGTGTGTGTGTGTGTGTGTGTGTGTGTGTGTGTGTGTGTGTGCTTCTGCTAATATGTGCATGTGTATTTCAGGTGAATGCTTTACACACACTCGCTGCTTCTCTATCAGCTTGTATCTACCAATCGCTATGTGACAGCCACAGCTACAGGTACAAACATGCCACTACTGATGATTGTTCATCTTAAAATGCCTCTAAAGGTGTTGTAGCTGCTTAGATTGTCTGACTACTGTGAACAGCATACCATTCTGTTAATTCTTACACACATATACACTCAGTCACTGACTCATGCCCACCTCTTCTTGTGTGTGTGTGTATAGTAGTCCGTCGGAGACCAATCAGTTCACAGGGATGGTCTATCAGGGGCTGTTACTGAGCGACAGGCATAGACTTCGCACCGAGAGCATCGAGGAACATGCAACGCCCACCTCTGCCCCTGCACAGTGGCCAGGTAACACACATCAGATCAGACTCCACGGAACACATGCAGGGAAATAGCACATTCAGACTCATCCTCATCTAGTGATGAGTAATTCTGTGTGGAGAGGAAAGTAACATCTGCAAAGACCCAGTTTGGTTCCTTTATTAATAAAGTCCCTGATGGTGAAACATAATATTACCCAGTAATGTGGAATAGGCTAATAATCCTGTTTGACAATATGGAATTTGGATGGCTGGATGGCTGGATGGATGGATGGATGGATGGATGGATGGATGGATGGAAGGAAGGAAGGAAGGAAGGAAGGTGGGAGAGAGAGAGAGAGAGAGAGAGGGGAGAGAGGATGGATGGATGGATTAATGGATGAATGGACTGAAGGACAGATAGATGACTGAGATTGGATGGGTGGATGAAAGGATTGATGGATGGATGGATCGACAGGTAAATGGAGGAGAGATTGGATGGATTGACAAAAAGATAGGTGGACGTAGTAACAGATGGATGGATGAATGGATAAATGGAGGAGAGAGACTGGATGGATGAACAGATGAGAGGATGGATGGGTTGACAGATGGAGGAATAGACTGATGTAGGACAGAATGAATGAATAAGAGATATGTTGGATTGATGAATGGATGGATAGACTGATAGTAGAGAGAATGAATTTATAGAAGATATGATTGGATGGAGGCTCATTGTGTATGTTTTCTCTGTCTCAGGTGTGTCGTCTCTGATCAATCTGCTGGCGTGTGCTCAGGGTGATGATCAAATTCGTCTGAACGTCATGTTTTGTGAGGCAGTGGTGGCTGTGTATCTCAGTCTGCTGATTCACGGTCTTGGCACACATTCTGGAAACGAGCTCTTCCGGCTGGCTGCTCATCCCCTCAATAACCGCATGTGGGCAGCCGTGTTTGGGGGTGGAGCCAAACTTATTGTCAAACCCAAGCGGCCACCTGAAATCACTCCAGGTAAGTCTTCTGCCTAAGTCCACAATATGTACTTAATGGCCTTTATCAGAAGTTTAGTAGCATTTTAAAATATTTTTAAGTTGGAGTTTTACAGTTTTTATGTTTATTCAAGTGCTGTTTTTGCTTCCATGTATTATTTTAAACGTCTTGAAAACGGTCTCTGGGGTCTCAGTTCATAATCAGATTTCCTCTCCTGTCAGCTGCTCTCAAGGCAGCAGGGTCAGAGGGTGTAAAGGTCACAGATTCTGACCCACCGACCTTGGCTGTCAATCAAGCACCACCTCGGACTGAGGCTGGTAAACATAGTAACATTACCATGGAAACAGCACAGCCAGAGAGCTGTGAGTAAGAGCTCAGAGGCGCTTCCTCCACACAGGAACAGGAAATGAGATAGGAATGATGGACTTCTAGTGTTGTATCAATAAGCACATAAAAGTCCAGTGATTAGATTACAAAATATTGCCATATATATTACAATAAGGTTCCGTTTGTTAATTAAATTAGTTAACATGAACTAACAATAAAAATGACTTCTAAAGCATTTATTAATCTTAGTTAATGTTAATTTCAACATTTACTAATATATTATCAAAATGGTATCTGTATTAGGGGTGTACGATATTATGATTTTTGATCGTGAATGATTAAAATGTCTCCACGATCTGCTTTTGAAGAAATATCATAGTATAGCGCTACAGCGCACATTCTATCAGTTGCAGTTCTCGCGCCTCCGTCTCAATATACTGTACAACGCGACATACACTCGCATCAAATGTTAACTCAGCGGTAGATTTACACTCACAGGACACTGCACTTTTTCGCAATAACAAAAGTGCATTATTTGCATGTGCTTTAAAGCCTTGCCGGTTAAACGTTTCATTCGTGTGCTGTTCTTACATGCGCTTTTTCTGAGAGCACACACTAAAAAGCCTGTCAAACAGTGCCTGATTACTGGACTAAGTTATCTTTCACTTCTGATTGTGCTAATACTGTCAAAAACATACTAGGTTTACATATAAACACAGCTGCTTATGTCTAAAGTGAAAGTAAACAATTGAGAGAAAAACAGATGCGTGCTTTTATATTAGATGTGTGCAGGTTTTAAAGTGACAGCAGGCTAATAGTACTAAACATGCTGCCGCTTGTCATTAAAGGGATAGTTCACCCAAAAATTAAAACCCTGTCATTATTTACTCACGCTCATGTTGTCCCAAGCCTGTATTAATTAATTTTTTTTGCTGAACTCAAAAGAAGATATTTTGAAGAATGTAGGTAACCAAACAATTGCTGGTCTTGACTTTGATAGTTGGAGAAAAAAAAAACAACACTATGGAAATCACTGGGGACCAGCAACTGTTTGGTTACCCACATTCTTTAAAATAACTTTTATGTTGAACAGAAGAAAGAAACTCATTCAGGTTTAAAACAACTTGAGAGTGAGTAAATGATAACAGAATTGTCATTTTTGGGTGAACTATCCCTTTAATGTTAATAAAACAAAACACAAAGAGAAAAATCACTCACTGCTTTAGACTGTGGAACTTTAATACAGTTGTTTTAATAAGAATCAATGTATAATTTATACAGTGAAGTGTATATAGTATTTATTTGTATATTTGTTCATTCAAGTTCTTGTTATTTTTAATAACAAAGATAAAATAATGACAGATTTTTTTTATCTTTGGCCTAAATGTCTGCCATTCTTTTTTATTTTACACCTTGTAAGGCTTTGTTTTTAAAATAGGGAAATTAGTTTAGCTGTACAACTTGCAAAATAGTTAAACCAACTTGACAAAGAATCGTGATAAAATCTTGAATTGTGATTTTCCTAAAAAAAATCATATGGTATTTTTTTGCCATATCACCCACCCCTAATCTGTATCATTGTGTCATTTAATGGACCTGAGCTAACATGACCTAACAATGAACAGTTGTACTTTTATTAGCTAAAATTAACAAAGATTAACTAACAACGAACAATACATGTATTACAGTATTTATTAATGTTAGTTAATGCATAAACTAATGTTAACTAATGGGACCTTATTAGTGTTACCCATATATTGTAGTTGGTGGGACGTGTGTGTCATTCCCTGTTTGTGTGTGGAGAGGTGCTGCGTGCGTTTGCAGTGACGTTTGTTCTTTATGGATTACATTTCATTCTTTGTTACTTTGTGTGTGTGTGTGTGTGTGTGTGTGTGTGTGTGTGTGTGTGTGTGTGTTTTCATCCAGCCTTTTTTGTGTTTGTGTGCATATTATGCTTTTGTGTCTCATTTTCATCTCATCATCACATGTGTGTGTGTGTGTGTGTGTATGTGTGTGTGTGTGACCATCACAGCCAATGTGGAGTCAAACAGGCAGACAGAGCTCCAGTCTGAGAACACACCAGGTACACACTCTCCCTCCACTTGTCTCTCTGTTCAGCCTTTTAAATCTGTTCACCTGTTTTTAAAGGAGTAGTTCACTTCCAGAATGAAAATTCTGTCATCATTTACTCACCCTCCACTTGTTCCAAACCTGTATGAGTTTCTTTCTTCTGTTAAACACAAAAGAAGATATTTTGAAAAATGTTAGTATACGAACAGTTGATGGGCACCAATGACTTCTACAGTAGGAAAAAAAAAATACTGTGGAAGTCAATGGTGCTCATCAACTCTTCGGATACTAAAAATTTTCAAAATCTTCTTTTGTGTTCAACAGAAGAAAGGAACTCATACGGGTTTGGAACAAGTGGAGGGTGAGTAGATGATGACAGAATTTTCATTCTGTCAGTGAACTACTCCTTTAACTCTAGTCTAGATGTAGGTGCGTATCTCTCTCTCTGTGTGTGTGTGTGTGTGGAGAGAGAGAGAGAGAGAGAGAGAGAGACACAGCTGACCTCCCCTATGCATGTAGGGATGCGGTGAGTGCCTCAGGCTCAGGTGCTCACCAGCTGTCTGAGGTCAACATTCAGAGTTTGTTCTGTTCTCTTTCTGTCTGAACTGATGAGACCTTTATAGTGGAACCAATTTGATTATGCTTGCTTTATTGAAGGGCAAAATAAAAGGTACTGTTTCAAGCCCTACTAAATTGGCTAATGTCTGCTGGGTACATAGGCAGCAACCATTTCAGTGATGCACCGAAATGATATATATATATATTTTTTTTTTTTTCTGAAACACTGAAACCAAAATTAGCTGTAAGTGAAAATAGTTTATTCAGTATACTAACTTTTCTTTTGTTGACTAACAAGCTATGAATATTGAATGGCTTTCCTGAGGTAAATGTAACATTACATGAAATTGTTTACAAGTTGTTTGATGATTAAGTGATTACATGAGACGATGTACAGTATAACTTTCAGTTGGTTGTACTTCAGCATACCTTCTGATGTTAATTCATGTTTATTTCTTGCCGTATATATTAGTAAAGAGGAAGAGATGATGGGTTTATGTGCGCTGAGTGCTACTGCTTGAACTGAGGCAGCCACAGCGATCTGCCATGTCACACAAAAAAAAAAAGAGGCAAACTGACATTTACCATTTTTAGAGTAACTCTTTCAGTTAGTTGCCAACATTTAGTTTGTTTTTTTTTTTGTTTTTTTTTCATCTGATATTTCAATTTTTATTTTAGCTTTATTTCAGTTACCCAAATCCTTCTAAATTGATTAATGCTGTAAAGTCTAGAAAATCGGTCCTTTAATTGTCTGTAAATCTAAAATCTAGTGTTTCTAAACATAGTTACATTGGAAAGTGCTTCTGGTCACATAAAAGGACCACATTCATAAAACCATGTAAAATAACCTAGTGATTAAGATTTTGTTTTCATACTTGTTGGCTCTTGGCATTTTGTCAAGGTGTTCTCTGGCAGCGCTCAAAGAGGAGATCCTTTGATCATCAACAAAGTAAATTAATCTGTCTGTGTTTCCCTATCAGCTCTTTGTTTCAAAATAGCCCTCTCCACACACACATACATACTGTACTCACACTCACAGACTCTTACTGCAGGAATTTCTTTTTGAACATGACTCCTGAAGGATATGGTGGTTTGGTGTGGTTCTTCTCTTCAGATGTGTCCTCCCTTAAATTGGAGATAAACATTCCACACTTTCAGAATCAAAACATGCTTCAAATGCTATTGAGACAACCTTCAGCTCAAAAGAAAGCACATCAACACAGAGATAGAATCCTGCATACTACTTTATTTTCCTGAAGTAGTAGATAGAATGACATTCCAAACATACTTCTTTCTTCTTTCCTTGATATATAGGTATGTGTCTCTCACTCCCTGTTTCTCTCTCTTCTCCAGCAGTACCTCATCCAACCCCTCCTGCTGAGGATGTGGACCGACAGCGACGCAGGTTTAACATGCGCATGCTTGTTCCTGGACGTCCCGTTAAAGAGACTCCAGCCACACCTCCGCCCATCCCTGTAGAGCGGCCCACCTATAAGGAGAAATTCATTCCACCTGAGCTCAGCATGTGGGATTACTTTGTGGCCAAAGTGAGACTGCATCTACTGCTTATTTACACAGGATAAACTGATTTATAAAAAAAAAAAAAACATGCACTGTATATACAAAGACATGAGTTATTTTTTGTTCTAAGTGCATCATAGAGATGTGTTTGGAACGTTTGCATCAGTTTATAAATCAGAAAAGCAGTTATCAGAGTGTCTGTCTCATTGCTTTCTGTCTGTGTGAATGTGTGTGTGTGTTTCCTCCAGCCTTTCCTTCCTCTCTCTGACAGCGGTGCACTGTATGATTCAGATGAGAGCGGTGGTAGTGACAATGAGGATGATGATGATGATGATGATGCCTTCCTCTCAGACACACAGATGACAGAACACTCCAATCCAAACTCCTACAGGTGAAATATAACACATTATAACACAATTAAAAAGGATTGTTACAGAAGCTTCAAGAAGTAAAACTAAGATGAGGAACTCTTATTGTGATTCATTTTGTTAACTGAAATATAAATGAAGTGCCATACAATGCAAAAATTAATTGAAAAGTTAAAACAACGTTTATGAAAACTTCCATTTTGAAAATGTATGTAAATTGTTTGTGAAGCCATTTTTATGTATATTGCTGTATTTATCGTAATGTTTTTTTATGAACAATTTGCGCAGCAATGCATTCTGCTTGTATTTCTTGAATGAGGTTATTGTTTTTAAACTCGCTCTTTTCATGGATGAAGTAAAGAAATCTTGCTGCTGAAACTACTTTTTAAATTATATTAAAATATAATAATTTTGGTGTTTAGTTAACGACATTGGTCCTGTGTGCACCAGAATACATGTGTTTCTTGTATCATATCAGTGTGTAGACTGAAGGATGTTTATGTGTGTTTGTGTCTTTGCAGTTGGTCTCTGATCCGCCTTGTGATGGTCAAACTTTCCCTGCACAATGTCAAGACGTTCCTGCCCCTGACAGGACTGGACTTCACAGGTGCATGGGTAGTAGAAATGTACTCTTGACATGCTCCATCTGTCAGAAAGTAAACTAAATAATTCACTTTCATTTCCTGTGCCTCTTTGTGTTGTCTTAGAGTTGCCAGTGACGACTCCCCTGACCAATGCTGTGTTGAAGACACTGGAAAACTGGGAACAGATTCTCCTGGAAAAAATGAACAAATTTGACAGCCCTCCACCAAACTACATCAACACCTACCCCACGGACCTGAGTGCTGGCGGGGGACCGGCTATACTCAGACACAAAGCCATGCTAGAACCAGATAACACACCGTTCAAGTGTGTACTTGCTCCGGATGTCTCAATTAATCCCAAGAATTACAATTAAACCAAAGAATAACTGAATTTTTTAAGAATTATGTACGTGTAAACAACTGTTCATGTGTTTTGATTTGTTCTGTTTTGTTTTTTTTCTCTTCAGGTCAAAGCACCACCTCTCCTTCCCTGCTCGCCGTCTGTGGCATTTTCTAGTCAAGCAGGAGGTTCTCCAAGAGACTTTGATTCGATACATCTTCACAAAGAAAAGGAAGCAGAGTGAGGTAACTACAGAACGCAGTGGGTGGGACCAGACGCTGACAGAATAAATGTGGCGGGAGAGATTTTTAAAGAGGCAGGGCCAGTCACAGAGTGAGGTATACCAAATCACTCGAAATCGCATGCTCTCTGAGTAGGTACTTCTTTTGAATAACAGAAAGTATGGTCTATGTAGTATGAATATGAGTAGTATTAATATAAACTGGACATACTGTCATAGTCATGTGACCACCCAACATCAGTTACTGCCATTCAAAAATCCTCTCTCATGGCGTCTTGAGATCCATCAGGTGTGAACTTCAGAATCTCACCGGAAGTATTAAAGGGTTAGTTCACCCAAAAATGAAAATTCTGTCATTAATTACTCACCCTTGTG